GTGAAATACAGGTCTCTTCAAACGGGACCTAGCCTAGACTTTGACTGGAATAGAGTTAAGAATGGCGTGGTATTTAGCATTTATGCAAACTTGAAAATCACTTAATATAACAACAATAAATCACATAATAACTAAGTTAAAAAATAATAATAACTCGTGGATATCGTATCGTATGTCTTCTACAAACATGATTTAAACTACGGCGGTGTACCCACGCCTAGGCCTACGATCGGAAAATTTTAAAATGCTAATTTTTATAACTTATGATTCGAAAATAAAGGTGAACTTACGATAGGCCTATATGATAAATAGATTATTTATTTTCAGTGCCTTTCCGGAATTAAATGGGGAAATGCAATATAAGTTACAGAAATGCGTTAAACTTGCCGGTTTACCACAGAATTGGAAACATCGGCGATCGCCCAAAAATGTCAGATGGGGACCGTTGGAGGATCGTCGATGCCACCTTCACCCATGCCTAGGATCAGAAATCGCGGGCCTAGCATGTCGACAACCAATTGGGGATGTGACGTAAATCTATTTCCGGTCGCCTCGAAAGCGGTAGCGAACGCAGTTTGGCCATTTTTTTTATCTAACACAATCTCGCTCACGACCCAGCATCTCAACCGCTCGCGATCGATGGAGACATGTGAACAAGACTTACATTCCTGAGTTGTTGGCGGCGTTTAAAGATGTGACTGACCTTGTGTCTGCTTTCCCCTAGACTTGCCACAAGTCTCTTATTTTTTTAAAATTATTTTTCTCATTCTGGACAGCGCCACCAACGAGAAAGTTAATTTAGAGATAGACGGAATAATTCGAAAAAAAAAAGAAATCGAGTATGGGACGCCAATTAAATTAGGTATGGCGCGCACTAAGTGCAATAAAGAGTGAGTAACCTAAAATTAGGGCCTGGAACCCAGGCTAGCTTTTCCCATGTTTCTCCCGATCGTGGGAACCTACTTGTGTGGGAACGTTTCTCACTGAATTCACTGTTACTAGGCAATTTGCAGTAATGCCAACAGGTGGTATACTGAGTATGCCTTGTTCAAACTGTTTTCTTCCGTTCATGAAAAAGTAACAGTATAATTATTCAAGTTTGTGTACTAGGCCTAGGCAGTATTATTAGTAATAATATCTAGTAGGCCAGGTTTGCACATCATCACATTAAAAGTTTGTTGCACTAGCTTAGGCTGTAGTAGGCCTACACACTGGTAATTTTTATCTTTTTTCTGGCAACATTTCAAAACTTTACTAGTGCAAACGGTTGTGCCGATTTCAACCAAACATGGTCAGTATAAGCGGTGACACCTCTCTTATATGGGGTGTTCACTGCTTGGAGTCAAAGGTCACATAGGGGTCATTAGGGTAAAAAAGCTTTCAAGAGAATGAATAAGAGACTTATGAGACTGTCACAAATAACATAGCACAGACTTATCCTGGGCACATATGTATTGGCATAAGGTAGGGTCTCTATGGTGTTCAGAGATTTACGGTCAAAGGTCATTAAAGGGTTATTTTTTTGTTCTCTCTAGTAACTTTTTAAAAATTCTACTAATACCAAACCATTGGAAAAAATTTAATCAAATTTCGTCATTAAGAACCGGCGACAACTACACCTCAGTCTGGGATCAGGGTTACATATGGGTCATCGGGGTCAAATTTTCAAAATAGTCCAATTGAGCTCGAATTTACAAGGAATGATCCTTAGGACCTTCTAAACATGAAAGACGACTCTTCACCTATAGGTCAAAAGTAACAAGGGTCACTATCAAATCATAATGAAACCTTGAGGACGCTCACTGAACAGTTCACTGCACACTTTAACACAGTAAAAGTCCCTTTTCTCACAAAATCGACTATATAATTTGAATGGTTTCATTTGGCAATCTGGGGTGATTGGATTATGAAACTAGATGTTTTAAGCTTTAAAAATAATCATCTACATATTTTTACAATTAATTCAAAATTGAGTGATCATTTTTCTTTCAAAGTTGACTATCTCTTAAGGTTAACATTAGATTGTTTTATTTTTTGGTATACTTCCTGCTTCTTTTTACCATAAATCTGCAACGACAGGTCGCTCAACTTCGGGGTAAACGGTCAATTGTAGCTCATAAATTAAGCTTTCCTTTACCATGTAAGTCCCATGCTGGTTGCTTAAATACGAAGCCCCATTAGGGACATGGGTAAAAAAAAAAAATAAAAAATTATCTCGTACGTACGACTTATTATCTCGTACGTACGACTTATTATCTCGTACGTACGACTTATTATCTCGTACGTACGACTTATTATCTCGTACGTACGACTTAAATACATTGGTATAATTAAAAAGTTTTCTGAAAAATGCAGCATATTGCCAGTCAAGGCGGATCTGTTTTGAAAAGTGATGGAGGGGGGGGGGACACTTTGTGTGACCACGCCCACCTCAGCTTACCATGGTTGGATGGGCGTGGTCACAAAAAAATTGAGGAAGTAGCTCTATGGTCGAAAATGACACTGCTATAATGAGAAATTGTAGGTACCACAGAAACTTTAAGCTTAATTAACATTGTGCTGAAAGAATTTCTCCTTCAAACAATACCTACAAAGAGGTACAAAGATGTAAGGTGAAAAAAAAATGAGGAAATAGTACTGCTAGATGGCCGAAAAAGACACTTATAATTTGAAAAGTTTGTGAAAAAGTGTGTCAAGATTGGTTCTCTGCCAGTACACTGATCTTTTCCTAAAACCTGGTCATTTATGCAGTTCAGTTCAGCAATTTTCACTTATCAATTACATTGCATACGAAAAGTGTCGGGGGACGAACCCTCCTAAAAAATATGTGGGGGTGCCCGTCACCCCGTGATCTGCGCCCATGTTGTTAATGCCTCTCTAACTATGGACCACGGTTTTGTCTATCTCGTCGTGAGCTCCATATAACTTTCGAAAAATAGCGGCTTATTTTGAAAATAGTGGGAATATACCGGTACCGTAAATGCACAATGCTAAAATAGGCGCCGCAAGAAATGCGTTTTTCATTATATTTAAACTGGTGGAAAACAATCATTTGTAATCGATGGTCGCCAAATTTGGTTGGGGAACTGGGCAAGGTCGAAAGTGACTGAATCCTTTGAATCGGGCGACTTCACAGAACATTTATTACACTCATAATTTCAAAACTTGTTGAAAACAATGAAGAACCTGTGTATACAGACTGTATGCATTATTAGCTTTGTAAAAGAGATGTACGACTGTACAACGTTATGTAATACTGTACTGTAAATGCTCGAAGAATACGCGCCGCGACGCTTAAAATCTTTTATAAACTTCAGTGCGGCGCTTATTCGATACCAGTTCAGGGGCATGAATGAAGTTGGAGTGAAATCACATTTTTCTGAGCTTCAATTTTATATCAAGATAACAAGAAAGCTCTATTTAAAAATATTTTAATTGGCAATGATGTCTGGCACTCAATGAGCATACATGATATCGAGGAGTTCGACGTCGATTATATC